CTGCGGGTTTGCGCCGACACCCGCGGAGTTTCCACTTTTTGCCGTGGAAAACGCGACCCGTCATCTTACTTGCCGCGCGGGGATCTTCTTGTCGGGACAGGCCTTGGGAAATGTTTTGCAGTGTCCAGCGGGTAATCGATTTTCCACTCTGGTCGTCCACTCTCTGATGCGTTAAGCTCGATATACGTGCGGGTTTTCCGACGTAAAGTTGCACTTAATTCATAACAAATTGTTCTAAATAATACCATCTAAATTACTTCGCAAATAAATAATGACTTTTACTGCTTTATATGTCCCTTAGATATTTTTGAGATTGTACAAGGTGAGATTGCGCAAGGAAACCCGTAACATTATATCGCGTTCAAATAACGTCAAATATTCAACAATTTATATGAGCGAAGGGTAAAAGATGATTTAACGCTTCGTCCTCGAATGCGAAGCTTATCCCGTGGATAGATAAAGATCGTCATTGTCAACCGATCTCTCCGCGATACGGATCGTGATTCGCAAGTTCCGAGACGTCCAACGGATTTAAAGCTTTTGCGGCGGGATTAAAGGTTACCCAGGGGTTAAGGGTCGAACGGTAGAGCCGAGTGCTACCCTCGTTGCATTAATTCAACACGACTACCTCGGATAACGTGTACCGTACGGTTTCACCGTGACGCTGTATACGAGCGTTATTTTATTTCGTAAAATTCTCAGACGATAAATCTACAATGCGTTTTTTTTTACGCTTTAATCGCCCGCTTAATAAATTGTATCCTCCTAACGATGATGGGAGAGAATCTTTCCGTCATTTCGAGCACGAAAGCGTTCCTCGAGCTCCTCCTCGCTTCCTCCCGCCCGTTCTTTATTTCGATAATTAAATCTCTCTTCTGCATTGTCTACGATCAAAGCTCTCGGCCTGTTTGCTCGTTGGAGGAATAATAAAACCGGAGCACTTTTAATTTATATAATTTACAAAGAGTCAAAATAAGAAATTGATTCTGTTGATAGAACTACGAACTACGACGCGCGCACGTCCATTGGAGAATTATCGTTCCGGAAATATCACGAACGTTGTATCAACCATTGCAGATATCTTTAGCCGCAGATTTCTCTTTATCGAAATAAATAGATATCTAGGTATGGAAATAACTTTGAGCTATTCTTTCTAATCTCTTCTTATATTGAAGAACTCGCAAGATATAAAAAAAGATATAAACGTTAGTAAAAAAAATTAGATGTCATTATTTTTTTAAATTACACTGTAAACATACGTTTCAAGCTTAAAATATGAAATAAAATTACGCGATAATAAATTATGTCACGCTTGACGCGACAGACGAAATTTATCGCTCGTATTATCATATACAATATATACATCATGCGAAACATTGCTCTAGGTTTTCCCACGTGCATGTTTATCCCAATAATTGTGTCGCGTCGCGTCGCATCGCATCGTCCTACGTCGCTTATCCCCCGAAAGCTACCGCAATCTGGATCAAAGCCGTTGTAGGTACGTGCGGGCCGACTCGAGGAGCAATCCTTCTTGCCAAACTGACGGGCTAACGTACGAGATTTCCTCGCCTGGCTGTTCCTCTATCCCGATCGTGTTCAACATCCATCTCGTTTTTTTCCCCCGAGAACGGGGAACGAGAGCACGGTCCGGTCAGGATTCGGAGGGGGAGGAAAAAACGGGTTCATTGCGACTGGGTGGCTCGTATCTACGATTTATCCAGTCGCGGATTGCCTGCGCGGAAATCGGGGCCGATCTAATTTCGTGCGCGCGCGCGCGCGCGTGACCCCGACGAGGAAGCTCCTATCTCTAGCTGATGGCTCGATCTCGTATCTGGCCGATCTCTATCCTTGTACCCCGGGCTCCGAGTGCGAATTCCGGCCGGCGCATTTCTCGGCCGTTAAGTGTCGGAAAACAGAATTACGAGGTCTGGGAATATTTTTCAAGTACTCGGGACACAATGCTCCTTCAACGATTCTATCTCCCTTGACGATCGTGTTAAATTACTGCGCGCGCATTAATTTGAATTTTCTTAGAAATTTATCGCTCCCTTGATATCCTAATATTGAATACAAGGATCGTTTTCTTTTTCATCAAGAATCGTTTTAAAAGGTTCTTGTACGGCGAGGAATATTCCTCTGCCGCTGAGCGTTTGTATCTCTTCGGCGGGGAAAGATAAATTACGCATCGCTTTGCTCGATTTAAATTCAGCACGGTGCATCCCGTCCATGAAGAGTTTCCCTTTTTCCGTTTTAACTTTAGCTCTCCTTCCCGCGGTTCTTAACTATGACGTTCGGATAAAAACGCGAGACACGAAAATGGCTATAAAATGGAATTTGATACGGAATTGTGGGATAGGATCGAACTCGGAGCTTCTCCCTCCGCCTTTTGTTCTCGCGGAATAGCCCCTCGCAATTACACTCGCGCAAAATACGCTGACTATTATTCCGTGATAAAGCAAATGTGTTTTCTCGAGTATCATCCCGCAAACATTATTTCGCAATGCGGCGTCCTTTCCCCCTGCAAAATATTATTTGTTTTATTTGCAAGAGCATTCGCAAAAATTTGCGTACTTCACGCAGAAGAGAAAGAGGGAGAGAGAGAGGGGGGAGGAAACACCGTTATAACCAAACCCAGCGATTTCTCAACGAGAAAACTCCGATAATTTTTGTCGTTACAATACGCATTTTCCCTATGCATACACATATATGCGCACGTCATGTTATTCACACAAATTTTTAGAGCGATCGTAAAACATGTAATCGTCGAAAATGATAATATTCACCGCCGTACTCGTTACGCGCGCATTCGCGTCGAGTTTCTAATGACTCGGCCGCGTTTGAGAATTCTGCGTGACGCTCATCGATAATTGTAGCAATTATAATTAGAACGTTCCCCTCTGGCCCTTCTCCCCGAATATAACACCGTTTGCAGCGCGGGACGGATAACGGGTGGCGCGGGCCGGATAAAATCCATTCTGCGTAATCCGTCATGTCCGCATTTATCCGTCATTAATTCAGCTGCGATTTTAATTGACAGAACAGCTACTACGCCCGCTCGCCCGCGGCTTGCACAGTGTTTATATTATCGATTTTGCAGTACGTCCACCAACCACTGACCAGGCGATGAGCGGCGGCTCACTCGCGTCTACTCGCGATTGATGCAATGATAACTATGTCTGTCTGCGTCGATAAACCGGAGAATGCGGATCGTTAAAGCGAGGCAAGCGAGATTGTACAGCGAAATTTCCGAAAATTCAGATAGCGTCAGATTATAATATAATCACGCCGAAACAATACGAACAATTCAAATTTTCATTTAAAATTTAGACGCGTAACAAACATTTTTCAGATCTTGGCAAAATCTTTTTTTTATAACATCTCTCCAGAATTTTCGGTTTTCTCAAATTTTCTCCTATTACTTTTGTATAAACCTCAAGTTATCTTTCAGCCAATACGATTTTAATATTTAACGAAATTATATTTTCCTGCTATTCATAAATTTTTATTAGTTCGTGCATCCGGGAATTAATACAAAAAGATTCTAAAAATTTCAAAAACTATCAAATTCTTCATAAATGTATCTACACGGATTCTCTTTTCAAAATCTAATAGATTCTTTTTGTAACCAATTGCAAGGTATTAGAGTAAATACTGTTAATCCCGTTGATCGCCATCGAACGCAGAGCGAATTACCTTCGTTATTATATCGCCGTGGGGAATTTTATGATATTTTCCTCCAGTGTATAATGGCGGTTTAATCAACACAATATCGCGCGAGTGTCACATATAGGGTGGTTCAAACACTTGATACAAAATAACGATCAGCTTTCGTTTTTTTATTCTTTTCGATTCGGAAAGTAATACGAGGGCGACGAGCTGGAAGATCGCCCGTGTTTGTTACACAAGACACATTTTTCAAATTTGGTCCCGTTTTGCAAAATAAAACGACGAATCACGCGACTCATTAAGTTCCCTCTATTGCAAAATAGTGCAATGTTCCGTGCGTAATGTAAGTTTCATGTTTACGGTAATCTTTTCGCATTAGCGAATTCGTGTTCGCAGCGTGAAAGCGACAGTTAAAATATCAGGAACGAACATCAACGACGATGATATTTGAATCCTGATCGTCCCCCAAAGTTTCCAAACTCCCAGGAGATCGTCGAGCGTATCGGGACATTCGGGACTTCTCTGCCGCGCAATCGAAATCTCCTTTCCAATTTTAAATAACGCATTTTTCGCGTTAAAGTTAATGGCGTTTAAAAATTCACGATTCATTCGCTTAATCCGGCGTCTCACCGGTTTGGCGGCCGGAGGGTTAATGCCGCTCTCAAAAGCGCCGCATTAAATGTTTATTGTTCGTCTACTCAAAGGCCACTTCGCCTAGTCGTACGGCTAGTTTCACGAGGTTAACCTAGCGGGAAGCCAGCGACGGTACCGCAGAGAGGGTAGGCTAAAACCGGAGTCTAGTTTCGTTCGGCGGCGGCCGCCGCGCCCGTCCCGGCAAGTGCCCATCCCTTCTGAATATTTTAGGAAGTACGCGCGCGTGTATCCCACCTCATCCCTTGCCGCATTATACCGGGCTCGGTGGACCCAGGCGAGCGCGTACAATCCCGAGATACAGATACACCCACACGATTAAATTCGTATGTGCGTCTGGGAAAACTGTGACTCGGGAAAATTGTAGAGAACAGTCGGAAAACACGTAGGAACATGGAAAACATCGCGAAATCCACCAACTCGCGGATTCTCTTGCGGTGTCTACCCAGGAAATTCGGCGAGAACGCGCCTCCATCTCGAAAAACTGGATCTTAATCAATGAAATCTTAAAATAAGAACGTTTTGCAATTATTTCGGAACGATTTAAAATAGATTCTATGATCGTAATCTCATTTGCTTGTAGTTCGAGATTTTTACGTCCGCTTTTGTTGTCATTACGATGGTTCAACGTCGTTTCTCGTTTCTAAAATCGAGATTCTGTGAATTGAGACGGCAATGCTTACATCGATTGATCCGGCAAATCATGTTCGGCGGCCAGTCGCAGATCTTCCAGTGCAAAATGGTATTCTTTGAGGGCCATAAAGATCTCGGCTCTTCCCAACAGCGCCAGGGGCAACGACAGACCCTGATCAACCGTCTTGTTTCTACCTGAGACAGATATTGTCGATACCGTATGATTTAAAAAAATATCGCTGCTCGGCCTTGAGACCCGGTAATCAATTACCGTCACGAACATAAACAATTTATCGACACAAAGCCAATGAAGCCATGAAAACGTGAGGTCTTTCGACCAATTGACGAATATGTTGCTAGAAAATGCGGCGAGTAAGATTTAAGTATTTATTCCACTTCTGCGGATTTGGCGCGACACCAGAACGTATGCTATCAACTCGACGACGCGTATTTCAGATCTACGCGCGCATTATAAATATAGAGAATTCATAGATTAGAAATATTAAAATATTCATTTGAGAAAGAATCGGCTGAACCTCACATGTAACGTAGATATATCAAATAGCCTTTGATTCTCCAGCCTAATTTATGCTTTAGTTCAATATAAATCTAAATTAATTAGCAATTAATAATTAAATCAAATAAATAGCAATTATATTATATTTGTAGTAAATAATAATTATATATAATTTAATTAAACATTCGTATAGTTGCGTTCTAATTATTGGAACAATACAAGTGTATTATTTTATATTGGCACAAAACTAAGTTTCAACGATTGTGAATAATGTTAATTAATGATCCGTCTTAACAATCGCATCTAATTTAATCGCGTCAGTCTGGCATACTTGTTACAGATAATTCATGCAGTAAATAAATGTCAATTATCCAGACAAGGTGCGGGACGGTGATATATCTGCTGCATGTCAACATAGAATTTTTGAATAAAGAAAAATGTAAACGAGATATTAAAAGTAGTATAAGCGATGTAATAAATGACTATAAGTAACAATACATACAGTAAAAATAAATTATAAATCTTTTTTTCGTTCGGATAATGGATGTTCTACCGCGATTTGTAAGTGACCTGGTTGAGGTGCGCGCAGGACAGCCTGACTGAACAGTAAAAGGGCCTTGTCGTGTTCGCCGACGGCGCCGAGCTGGTATCCTTCGAGTCGCCTGCGTCTGGAGATCTCCGCATCCTTGTCTCTGAAAAGGGGCTTCACCTTTGCGAGCGTGTCGGCCACGACGTCTTTTACTTTCGCGTCGGTGAAGACCGCCCTCATCCGTCCCTCGTCGTCATCGATCCGGCCGAATATCTTCGACGTCCAGGTATCGCCCGCGGTTTCCATCACGTGCCCGCTGAAATCATGGAAGAATCCCTTCCGGCCGGAGCGCAGCGTCTCCGACGAGCAGAGGGTCCTGTAAAATTCATCCTGATCCTGCATTCTTGTGCACGGAAGGACGCCCGGCGCGGCGTGCCGTGTCTCGTGAAATCCCTTTGTGCCGCGTTCCTCTTTCTCCGTGACTTCCCCGCGTTCCGTTAACGAGATCCCTGTATGCGAGCGAATCGCCTTTAGACGAGCTGAAAAACGGCCCGTCCGCGTTTTTATATCGCAGATTAGTGTACCCACTTAGTTTGTTACGATTGCGCCGCTTACACAAGTCGACTTCTCTCTCTCGCCATTCTGTTCCATTTTATTTTTAAGGGTACAGTTTTATATATTTTCCGCTACTTATTACCTCTCCTTTTGGCCTGTCTTTTTGTAAAAGCGTCCTTTTTGTACGCGCGCGAGAGAAGAATTTATCTCTTAAGATTTTTATCTTAATTTACCTCTCAGTTATTACGCTCTTATTCGGTATCCCAGTTTTCTTAATACTTTCAGCTAATTATGTTTTGATTAAATCTTCTTGTATATTTCTACTTCTTGCGAGAGACGAATTTCTCCGGCATACAATCAATTCCCTTCGCTGTCTCTTTTACTTCTTTATGCGCAGCAGTTGTCGATGTACCGACTAGAAGTCCGCCTCGTTACTCCCGACGTTGCCATCTCGTTCTCCTCGACCAATCCTTTTGAATATTACACGAGCTGGATGTTTCGGTATTTTGTATCTGCCGTCGGATGCGTGCGCGACTCTGTTCCGCGAACTCTCGGGATTAAGAAGTAGCTGTTAGATAAATCGCGGTGGGAGCAACGATCAGAATATATATAAGGAGCTCGATGTAGATATTTTGTTCGCGAAAATGCCACTAGATCCGCGCGTAATAATTTTATACACAGACTCTGATTTCAGTCCGAAAGAAACGTTGGAAGAGCGCGAGTCCGAAAAAAGTCATTCCGCCGTGCTGAATCATAAAAGGCCGAGGAGGACTGGACGCGCGGGCAGATTCCTATTCTCTCGTCTCGAGTCCGTGGAATTAAACGACTCTATTCGCCCGTGAGAAATAGCCACTCGGGGATTCTCTATCAAGAAGCAGCGAGACCCGAATTTAAGAGGACTTCCTCCTTCGCCAGACGAGTCCTTCTTCGCAAATTGGTTGACTGCTAGAATATCGGACGTTTGTATTCTTTTCGGTCCTTCCGCTATTTACTTCTGCTTACATTTGTTTCGTCAAACAAATAAAAGTAGACGATAAAATCAATGCATAAATTATTACTTAACACGTATTTAGGATCCAGTCGAGTTACAAATTAAAATGTTGTCGATTTGAATATATTATTTTTGGTTACAAATTAAAATTCGAACATACGTTCACGATAATTAATGGGCAGCACATTTTTTTACGGTATCTGTGCGGCGAAAAACTTTCGAAAAACTTTTACTCATCGAAATTATATCGGTTTTAATTCCCGCTTTAAATCCTGCTTTAGTCCACTGCTTAAACGCTTAAGTAAAGTTCACTTGAACGGCTCGTTTGACTGTCTTTTACGCAAACTTTTCACTTCTCCTCTTCAACCATTCTGAACCTGCATCCCGATTTCTTTCCGATTTCCTCTTCGTTGATTCGCAGTTTTGGAGCACGACGACCGCGGCCGAGGGACACCCGAGTGCATACGGAATGACTGAAACGGATTACCGCCGGCCCACCATCCTCTCTCCTCTATCTCCACTTGGTGAGTAAAACTTTAAAGATCCTCGACCGCTCTCGTTCACCGCGAAAACCGCAGTACCCGGGGATTCCTCACGTCTCTCTCGCGCCGACTCGATGCTTTATGAGGGGTTTACTTTATAGACACGAACGAGGTATTAGAACGGAATACCGGTATTAGACTGAAGACGCCGCTAGAATGCGAACGAAAGGGAGGGACAAATGTATGTGCGTATATGTATAGCGAAAGGGACAAAGATAGAACGTTGCTAAGGAGAGAAGCTCTCTTTCCTCTTTTACTCTCTCTCTCTCTCTCTCTCTCTTTTCTCTCTTTCTCTATGTCTAGAACAGCTAGAGAAATAATTTTAGACACGTTCTATTTCGATCGTAAACGGTTCGCGTTCGCTCCTCATCGCAGAGTCCTCTGGCTTCGTCCGTTCGCAAGCGTCGAGTAATCGTGAAACGCCACGAAAAATGTCTCGTCGATAACGACATTCTCGATCCCGACGTCGTCTGGTCCTTCCACCGTCACCTCGCCTCCTTTTTTCACCGTCGTTCCGTGCGGTCTTACTCCGGCGTCGCCTCTTGAGTCGACGCAGAAATCCTACCCCCGATATCCACCCCCGTCACTGTCCGTTCCACCACCATAGAGCCCCATTATAGCCCAAGAAAATTTATCGTCGAACGTCCTTGATCTCCCTTCCCGCCTCTCTCCCTGACGACCTCACCTGCTTGCGGTGGAAAATACCTGGATTCGAGTAACTCGTAAATCGAACTAGCCGTGTAATAAAGTCGTACCGTGACGTTCCTCGCTCTTCAGAGTTTCCGCATCTTGCGACTTTTTGCTATTGTGCGCCGAGCGAAATCTTCGAGCTCCCGTGTGCGAGACGTTCTTACGTGACTTTCCCCCTCGGCCGCGGCCGCTTAATGGCGAGCTAGATCCAACATCGTCTTGGGTGGTAAATCTTAGTTCCTTGAATTTCCATGTGAACTATGTAATTGCGTAACTAACGCAAATGATTGATATTTTGGAATTTACTGTTTTGGATTATTACAGTCTCGCATTATTTATTTTAAATTTTACCTTTTAAATTTAATATTTAAAATCTTTTTAAGTTTGAAATTTATGATCTCAGAATATCGACATTTAACAAAGCCTTAAATTTAATTCTTGACATTTTTCAAATTGACAATTAACAATTTTTAATGTTTAAAATTTAAAACTGTAAATTAAAGAATTTAAATTAATTAAAAAATTGTATTTAAAAAATTAAGTTCTTTTACCTACAGTAAAATTTCACGCACACTTTTGCATATTATTTTTTGGCAACCGATTTTCAGCTAATTTGATGTTTATTCTTCTCTTTTTTTTTTACGCTGGGAAGTCGACTACCGAGTTATATGGCCCGGTAGCCCCCTCTTTATGAGAGGGCGAAGACCCCCCTGCCTCCGGGGAGAGGCAAGGGGAGTGTCGGATTTTTACCGACTAAAACTCAGCGGATATCCCTCTCGGCGTGTTTGGATGGAAGGGGAACGGGTAGCGTGATGATTCGTCCGCCGCCCCTCCCCCTGCGCCACGTCCTGACTGGACGTTCCTCTCGGAGGGGAAGAAGGGGGCTGTGTGCCCTCTCGGCCCATATCTAATTATCTAATAATTCATGATTACAAATAAAGGACAAACTCTTTCTAAGCTTGTACAAACAAGTGGATAAGAAAATACTGTTAACAATTTATCGCAATATTATAATTATTTTATAAGTTCATAATGTTATTTCAATTAATTTTAAATAAACTTTGCTTAATTATTTTAATTAAACTCAGCTAGAATGATACATAATGTTAAACAGGAAAATTGCAAAAATAATAAATCTTTCTCTCGACATATCCGCTGGACTCTATTTTGAGAAAAAAATTCATGATTAGAAAGTAGGACCGTTGAAAAGAGACACTCTATATAATTTCTCAATTATGTCTCTCGTAACTTTTCACTGCACTTTTCTTAAAGTATTTCGGGCACGGTTTAAAGCGAAGTCCGTAGAGCCCGGTCGGGTCATTTGGCCTGAGAGAATTTGTACATCGCACCGACGTTCACCATCCTTGAGAACGTAAAGTATCGATGCTGCTCCTCTGATGAAATATCGACACTTGACTTTTTGGCGTAAATGGAACCTTTCGCGCGGTAACGTCATATGAAATTCCCGAAGGACCGTCGGCAGTTGTATCGATTTAACGTCCGACCACGTATGCCCCGTTAGTTGTCATATGCGTGTCAGGTGCTCGCCTTATCTATTCACAATCCCGCTCATATTCTTCCCCGAAATGTATGAATTTTTCAGTATTGTCGTCGCAAGATTCTCTCTTTCTTCTTGTTACGAGAGCGTGGTAAAAGTTCTCTCGCGGGGTGAGATATCTGGCGCGCCTGTATTAAATTATTATATCCAAGACTTTCCGCGCTTCTGCCCGCGTTACTTCGTAATCGCGGATTTTTCGATCAATTTGTACCTTCGCGTCCCGCAAAGAAATGTGACCGCAATTTCCGTTCCCGGCAACTGATTGCTGAACAACAAACTAGGAATAGCATTGCGTGATAAACGGCGATTGCTAATGTATTTAATAGTCAACGTAATTGGTTTATTGAGTTAAAAAATGTCCTCGTCTATGTGTCATGATTCCCTTACCTTCCTCCTTTCAATCCTATATATATATAAGATAAAGTTCCTTCCACCAAGAGGTTTAGACGAACCCCGATAGGTATTAAATTCTGCGGGCAATCACTATTTTTTTTTCTTCTTTTTTGAAACACCGATTCTCGTGCAGCGCGGTCGTTTCTCGTGCGTGTTTTTTTTTCCGGTAGAGGAAACGCTCGCTGACGGCATATCTTGCCGAGGATTCGCGATAATCGGGTCGATTTATGAGCCAAGATGGGAAGTTATCGCGGTACTGGTAAAGCAAAACGTTGGCAGCTTTATCGGTCTCGAATTCTCTCCCGTGAATTCTATAGGAACTTCAGGAAGAAATGTTTGGTAGATTTATCCGGCCGTTCAGCGTAGTTAATAATTGATACATCTGTTAGCTCGTGCGCCATATATTTAACTATTACGAGATAACAACGGTGATATCATAACACACGTTAAACAGGACATTCGCGTGCGATACGCGCGCCAAAGCGAAGCTCCTCCGTAATTCGTAGTTAAGATCATGGCGGCCGTTTAATTCGTACAGACGCTAAATGGCGTTCTTTTTTTTGCCGGGTAAGGCAAGCCATTTCGCGTGTTGGGGCAGAAAGACGCGGCTGATTCGCGTAATTCGAGCAAATTGCACAATAATGCCGGCGGAATATTCGCCGAGGGATCTTAATGGTATTTTTATCGACTTTTCTTCCAACATTGCGGCGCGACCGCTTTCGTGCGGCTGTCTGACGAAAAAAAAATACACAAAAAATGTCGTAGGGTCTACCGCGAGGGGAAGAAACCTCCTTTGCCCCTTCGCTCTTCACGCACATTACGGGGCGTGTACACTTATTTCTAATGAACCTTACCAGTACTTACGTTAGTTATTCAAATTAATTTCCCCCCTATGTGTGTGTACTCGCCTCTTTTAATCGCAGCGCGCCGTAAGGGCGCGAAATTACCATCGCACCCTCTTCGGCCAAACACCTCGTCTCTGCACATCCTGTCCCGCAACGCTGACTACTGTCATTAAATGCAAATTTCGCACGGCCGGTAGGGCAACTAGAGACTGAAGTTTAAACCGTATTTAGTGAAGCGTTATTGCTGATTAGGAGCGGAACAGGTGTATTTCCGGAAGTGGTGACATATGATTACCACGATGAATCCTAGGATCCATCACTTACAATTGTCTGCATGTCTCAATCTACGTTGTATCCCATCCTACACTTTGCGTATTCATTCTATCTACGAAATATTGAGCAAGAGACGCATCGAGAAATATTCTGATGACATACAAAAATTCGCTCATCGGGGTGCTATCGACGCAGTTAATAATATTATCGGTATTCTAACGAGCTGAGTCGATCTTTATTAGCGTAGATTTTCAGCCTGATTGCGTCCACGCAAAGAGTTATCAGATCGATTCTCGCTTATGTCGGCGTATTGCATATTACTCGTCTTTTGTGACACATGCAATCCGATCTCTAAACACACGACACCAAATGAAACGTTGTTGCACCGCTCATTACGGTGGGCGTCGCAAAATGCCGTAATATTACCAGATAAGCACTTTTCGAAAAAAAAGAGAATGAAAAAAACATTTGTAAATCTATCTATATATCGCGGGCCTCGCGCGATGGAGGCGCGTCATTATCTCAGCATAACATGCATAATTAACAAGAAATTCTTGAACATTTTTATTCGTTTTATTTGACAATAAGAATTCTTATATCGTAAGCATAATTATTTAGAGATATCTGGACACGCGAGACAGCGTTATCGGAACTTTTATGTAACTTTTTTTCACATTTTAATAAGATGAAGGCGTTTTAATGACACTCAGCGTCCCGTCAGCGCTCTTTTATCGCTCTTATAAAGAGCACTCTCGCGTCTCTTTCGCAATCTCTTTTTATCAATTTACCGTCCGTCACACACAGGGACGATCGACTGATATCATATTCGCCGGTGTCACATTAGCTCACACGACCTCCTTGACTGAACGTGACCGGAGCGTGCGCGTAACGAGACGTTCGCTTCTGTAAAACTCGTCATGCGCAAGCGGATTCTTTTCTTCGTAGCGCGGCTTCTTGCGTGGTGCTCGTGGCGCGGGCCACGAATTTTTGTTTTTTGTGTCCTTCGATAAGCCGCGGATTCTTTCTTCGAGAGAGTTTCTAGTGCGTCAGCGCGCAGTCATCAATCTCATCGCGAGCCAGCCGGAGAGCCCGTCAAGCTTCTTTCGCAACATTTGATGATAAGTCAACGAGCTCGAAAAATGCGATAAAATATGCTATAATGTACGAAGAAAACTGCTGGCATGCATTCACTTCTTTATGCTCTCTAATCTAAATTCTATCTTAAATCACATTTAAGTACGTCGTATGCAACACCCCGCGATTTTTAATCCCCTGTAGAGGTCTATTTATTTTATTACTGTGAGTTTAGAAGTCTGAATTACAAAACGTAATAGATAGACATTTTAGAAAGTCAATAGCGATCGACGCATGTGTG